GTGTATGTGCTTCTATACATAAACTTGTAATTTCTAAGGAAAGTGACTGATTTTTTATTTATTAATGTTACAAATTTTATTACTTAGACATTATTTTTAGTTGATACTCATATTTGTGTAGAGGCTCTGTTTATTTATTAAACAGTATATTTATTTTTGTCTATCAGTCTTAAATATTCGAGAAATCATTATAGACAAAATTTGAACCTATGTTCTAAGTGCATTGTGTTGAATCTTTACTTGATATACACTGTTTGCTTTATCAGTTTAATAAAGGTGTTTTATTAAAATCCGTTACCCATGTTGATATTTCTGAAAATACTGTCACATTTTTTTTATTTTTTTGTGAAGAAAGAGCTACACTCCAACCAGGTGAGTCTATGGGGTAAGAATCCCAAATCAACTGCCATCGAAATCTAAATAACTCTACTTGTCCTGCAATTTACCCAAAGCTGAGGAGAGAGGTAGATCCGTGTCTTTCCATCAGGCACAAGTTGGAAAAGTGAATGTAAAACTGTTTCTACTGAGAATTGAACTCACACTCACCTTTTTTCTATTCGCCCCCGTCCTCAACCATCAAGCTGCTCGCACCTCCCTCAGCTAAGCTGGGCAAATATACTTTCATTTAAAGAAACCAAGTGTTACCATCTTTTGGGAAAAGTAGCAGTTGTTTCTTGTCATAGTTTTTTGTTATTTATTTATTTTTGTATCAGTGAGGAGGGGGGGAGACGGTTTTTGTGGCTTATCGTTAGACTTTATCAAAGTGCCAAAAAAATATCCCCCTCATTTACAGCTCCCCACCTTTTCCTTTACCGTTAAATATACTCTAGAGATATCTGTTCATAAATTCACTGTTAACTGATGAAAATCTTTTTTCTTTTCTTAATTTTCATTTTTTTTTTAATATGTTTACACCTTGTTCAACTGAAAAATATAGCCTACTTCACTTTCTCTGTGCGTTTATAATATATATATATATATATATATATATATATATATATATACTGACATACATACATACATACATATACATACACACATGCCTGTGTGTATGTATGTATGTATGTATGTATATATATATATATATATATATATATATATGCAAAGGCAAACTTAGGCACCATCAGTTGAATTTGCATTTTGCCACCAGTTCATTTAACAGTTGGTGTATTTGAGATAGATGAATATATATATATATATATATATATATATATATATATATACATATATATATATGCATACTGTATTCATGTCTTCTATATATATATATATATATATATATATATATATATATATATATATATATATAGCATGCTCATATTTAGTGTATAACACATGCACACAGACTCGTGTATATATATATATATATATATGGGTGCATAGCCAAGTGGTTAGAACATTTGCTTTCTGAACGCTTAGACCTGGGTTCAAATCTCACCATAGTTAATATGTCAGGAAGTAAACTTCCTGATGTTTTGTGTGTGTATATATATATATATATATATATATATATATATATTTGGGCGCATAGCCAAGTTCATGGGACATTCACTTTCTGAACATGAGAGTCAGGTTCAAATCTCACCATGGTTAATATGTCAGGAAGTAAACTTCCTGATGTTATCGGTCTGGAGACAGTCCCAGTGTGCAGAACCTTTTAGAGAGTGCCCGAAAAACCATACTATTGGTTGACCCAAGCCTTGAGAGTGAAACTGGGTAGACAGAACCCTTGGGGGCAGTCGATAGCTGTGCTAGCACGAAGTCACAAATCATTGTGACTGAGTGTTTGAGTGTGCTGGCCTTGTTAAGATTGTTGATCATGCTTGATAACATGCTCTCTCCCAGAAACTGTAACTAAGGTCTGCTCAGCATAGTTGCAGTATAAACCACAGGTGGACTCTGTTGGTGTTGAACAAACACAACACAAATGTGCCTGAGCAAGTGTCTGCAATAGGGATTGACTAGCTGGCCTAATAGACAAGTATCCTTGAATACAAGTGGCCAGCTATATATATATATATATATATATATATATATATATATATAATATTCTGTTATATTGACATAGAAGATTGCTATGTGGTGATAACTGTCACAGAATAGCAGACACAGGTTGTAAGTTCATGATGCAGTTCTATGACATCATACCACGTGAGAGACTAGAATATTAACAAGAGAACCATATGTCTAGATGCAATTACATTGCATCTAGACATAAATGTAATTTGAAATGTAATTTTGTTGAGTATGGGTTGTTTTGTTTTAATTTAATCTTTGATGGTGAATATTTTTGTTTAAACGTCCATATAACCACTCTGAAGATGGCTCATGTGAGCTGAAAGCTTAGATCAAGCAACAGCTTAATAAAAACATAGTCAAATCTTGGACAATTTTTGTCTTTATTTTGACCCGAAATTAAGTTTAGAACACCTCATGATCAGACATAAGACATTCATTGTCTGTTATATTTAGCAATATATGTTTAAATAATGATCTGCTGCCCCAGCACACACACACATATATATATATATATATATATAATATATATAAATTTATTCAAAAATTATAACATAAACGTTATAAAATCACTACAAAAATAGCCATTTTGTTTCAACACTTCTGGTGTCTTATCAAGTCATGGTGTTGAATACAACACCAGAATGTTTATGATTTTTGAATAATATTTGCTCTACTCTTTATTGAGCATAGTATTTTTGGTTGTTGGAATTTATTCCATCTACACCAATCCTATACTTGGAGATATATAAAAGTCTTAAAATTGGTCATTGAAATACTGATATTAGGAAGTTAGGTTGGATGTAAGTGTTTTTGGCACTCTTTCATGCAAACAAGTCAGATGTGTTTGAAAAACAAAATTAAATATGTGTGTTTGTATATGTCTGTGGTACATTTCATAATTGGAGTTATGAATATATTAAAAATATTAGCTTCTCATATCCCTGTAGAGACTAATTCACTTGTTTACATTTTTAATTCACAACCCCCTTAGCACCCCCCCCACACACACACACTCTGCGGAACATGGAAGTAATGTCTTTTTAGAAAAAGAAAGAAAAATCTTTTCTTCCCTCCCCCATTGGAAGTATTATTGATAAAATCAAAATGTGTGTTTGTTTTGCGTAAAATTTGTATTTGTTGATGTGGTTAATTTGACAAGCTGTTGACTAAGGCAGCACTTGGCCGAGGGACCCCACACAAGACATCTTGTTCCCACTTGCAAAAATAATCTGACGGGATTAAAAACCTTGAAGCCTTGGAGTTGTGACATTGATATTTAAATT